TTGAATTTCTTTTTTTAATTTTAAAAACGACAAAACGACATTTTCATCATGCAAATGTTTCCTATTTGTAGAAAATGAGACTAAATACTGTAGGTACAAGTCAAGTCAATATGTAAGATACCATATTTCTCTTAGACCACCACAATATTTCTGTTATGGAAATTTGATTTATACATTGCAAAGAATTACATGAAAGCATTAAGAATTTGTGTTCTTCCCACCTTTGTATGTAATAATACTATATAGGAGGAAATGGGCCATTTTTATTAAGAGCAACATGTGGCAAGCCTTGACTAGGAAAACAGCCATGTCTTGGTTTGGCAGTTTAGGCATAAATATTCCAAAGTGCTCCTAAAGATGTTTATAACTTTTAACAATGTTTTATACTCACAGCTTTATTCCTGTATTAGTCTTTATTGAGACTGACACAAAACTATTCAATGGTAAACTTTTTTTTCTAAAATTCTAAGTTATAAAAGTTATGAATCAAACTGGATTTTATTTTATTTTAAAAGCGGCTGATTAGAACAGAACCCAGCACTATTTTATGTTTTTTTTTTTGTCAACAAAGCATCTTTCCTTTACCTTTCATCACTTATAGTTGGTCCATCTGATTAAATCAGACCAACAGTTAGGTTGCATGACTAAAATGAGACAAAATGTGAAATAGTTGTTTGAAGGCTTTTGTAAATCTGAATAAACTTTTAAAATACCAAAAGCCAAGCCAATTGTATCCATAAGAACTTAGAAACAGCAGAGCTGACCAAAGAACTGATTAGACCTCAAAGCAACAAAACACATAAAAGATGTCAAGAAGATAACATTAATCTAAAATTAATAATTCCAAATGCAGTTTTTCTTTTCAATTTTAACAATGTCATGTCTAAGAAAGAATCATCTTTTTCACCAGGAAAAAAAAAAAAAAGTTGTGTCAAAACGATGATGCAAATATTTTTCATAAAAGAGAGATCACAATTTAGGTACCCTTCAAAAATGATTTTCTATTTTCTGACAACTGTGTAAAAACTTTGGTTGTTGTCTTCACTTTGTACCTCTGACCTCCATCTCTGATGTATGAAACAAAAAAGTCTGTCTATCTAAAATCTACAAAGGTCACTGACCTGTAAAAGAAAATATCAAATGCCTATATTTCGTCAAATTTCAAAGAATAGGCATTTTTATGCGAAAACTACTGTTTTTACTTTATCATGAAGAACATGTGTATGCTTTCTGGAGTGAAAGTGAGGTGAAAGGAGACAGCCAAGGAAAAAGACAAGAGGTTTTAGTTGATTCAGAGACTCTCCAGTGGTTACACGTTTTCATGGTGCTGTGCTGCGGTGTTCTGCCGCTTCCTGAGCTGGCTGTCAAAGGTATTTTGGTCTGATATCTGACAGATTTGCTAAAGACACTCGTCTCAGGGCAGTACTCTATATATTGTTAGTTTAATGCTCAATGACATGACCAATTATAGCCAGCTCCATGCTCAAATAGCATGTCAAAACCTGTGTATCAATCCATTAGATCCTGTCTCCCATCACATTAAGTGGTACCTTTAGCTATCTGTTCTGCACGTAAAGAAATATGCTGACG